GGCGGGAATGAAAAACTTACGCTAGATACGGAGTCGTCAATTCGTAGACTTGGCGAAGTAGCTGCTCGTTTTCGGAAGGAGAGATCAAGTTCTTCAAGACGTCGATTACCGGGGGAGTGGGAACGGGGAGGAACATCAAGATAGGCACGAGCTATGGCAATTTCATAGTCGGTCATAAAACCTTTTCTGGCAGCAATGACGTCCTCAAGTGTGACTTCAACATCTGAGGTGAGTCTGAAATCATAACCGCTGATGCATTCTCTTCAAATAAACAAACAAAGGGATTCTAGAAAAAGAGTGCTGTGGCGAAAGGGTGAATATATACATATTTGAAGAAGTGAGAGACATGGACTCACTTCTCCAGGTTAAGTATGTGCCGCACACGATTCTTCTGATGTCGCCACACCCTTTTGATTTGTTCCAAACGCAAATTTCGTTGACATCGGCTCATAGTTGCCATATGCACTTCATCCCATGCTTCGGCTCTAGAAGACATAACTTAAAAGGAACAACTTAATACGATTCAGTTCTCATTTCCTACTAAAATGCATACCTAATTATTTAGTTGCATTTTCAATATCATAATCGAATAGAGAGAAGAGAATCATACTCGAGATACATGTCAAGCATATCCAGTAGCAGAGACCGCTTTTTTCAAATAGGCGGAGGTAAGCGGAGAGGTGAAAAGTTAATGCTAGATTTGGAAAGTAAACTGCACTCACATGTAGTTTAACACTCGGTACTTTGCAAGGAAAAATCAAACTCCAAAACAAACTACCAACCATATTTCCATGTAACTTTCAATCGAAAAACTTTACAAAACTTGGAAAATGGTTCACGCATCAAAATTAAGTATTATCACTGTTTTAGTAGAATAGTTGTTGTAGTTACTGGATAGCCAAGTGAACGTTATCACATGGCATAGATGCATGGCACATCTAAAATCCGTGAAACGCAATATTTTGTTCTTCTGATGTTAACCCACAGTGCCGTACTGTCCGCAGTGGCGCAAACATGTGCGGCGCACCGGCTGCGTTCGCCATAAAGCTGCTTGGCGCGTTAAATGAGGGGGGCCAAAGGCAGTAACTGCGTGTGTTGCGCCTTCGCGCCAGCGTGGACAATGCGCACAGGTCTACTTTAAGGGAGATGCATATAATATTGGGATGTGTATGTGCAACTGTTTCATGTAAATACTAATGATATTTTGAAGCTCTGTTGCTAAAACTTTCTATAGAGGTCAATCGACAATTTAAAAAAAAGAGGTTGAAAATCCAAATTGAGTACACGGATAACCTATATATTCATAGTTTGCTGTCACTTCTCAGAAATTCTGGATTCGCCCCCATAAAAAAGGTCCTCTCGCTCTGCTTTCTTCTTTGCTTGATGCCAGTCAATTTCATAGTAGATGCTAGCAATCATAAATCCACTGAAACTGAGCTCCTACAACAAAATAACTGAATCTCAGAAACATGCTCATCTCTAAAGGAATTGCATAGAATCTTATCACGATTTAATCTAAATGGAATGCGATGTTAAGATAAATGCTAGAAAGTGATATCTTGAGATGCGCTTTAATCTTATCGAAAGAAGTCAGTACGTAGCACACTGTGCTAATGGCTTTGTGGCATATACATTTAGCATCAGAATCAATTTCCAAAAAACTCCTTTAAAACTGTTACCGATTGAATTTCGTCCCTAAATATTTTTTCTCTTCTGTAAAATGGTACACATCATCATAACCAAATTATCTCTCACGCTCTTATC